AAATTGAGCAAATTTGGTGCCATCCAGGCGGAACATCATTGGTGAATAGCTCCAGAAGCTACTCCGGGTGCGCTGCATCCGCGTGTGGTGCATGGAAGCAATTCACCGATCATGGTATAATCCAGTGAGCATTTTGACTTCTGGTGTCTAGTCAGTTGATTAACATGAATTACAGTCTATAGATCAGTAGCCGCAATCAAATCGATGACGTTGACATGGAATATAACTGCACACTAATAAGGAAACATGACAGCAATCAAATGGCTTAGTTACTTTTTCACGGCCTCTCATTTGGGTGGAGAGTTTCATCCTTGTGACCGCTGAGTAGGGTAGCGAACAACGAGATATGAAAACTCGAAATATCTCGTCCATAGGAAAGCAATCTCTGTCTGAGGTAAGCACTTGTGTGGACGGTGAGGGGCCCAGTTTTCCGCTGTATGTGGCCTAAAGTATTTTTCAGAACATTGTTTGTTCAGTGAGCTGGGCAATTTGATTACAAACGTTTCTTCACCAATCGAGGTGACATTATCAGTGCGTTCTTGGGGAGCGTGGTGGAGCGCAGTAATAGGTTGGTGGCTGTGTGTTGAGTAGTGTTGTGTGTGTGTTAATATACATGCTATTAGCCGGGGTTGACCTTCGATCACGATTGGTTGTTCGGTCGCTCGATTCCATTGGTTGTTCTGTTATCCTGTGTCGTGATTGATTGTCCAATTTTTCAGAACATCCATTCCTGAGGTGGCCACACTTCAGGCTAATGAGCCCACTAAATTCTTGTGTTAGACACATTACTCGTGAGTGGTGAACAAGGAGATTAGCGCACATACCTATGTGAAAATTAGACCGTGTGAGTACTGACTTACTGAGTGGACCGAATGGTGGTTTTAATAAGGTTGGCATAGGAATGGTGGGGCCTGTATCACTCACAGATCTTATCATGTCGGCTGGTTTTTGTTCCTCAGATGTGACTCAAGATCTGAGGTAGAATTAATTTTCATGTTCACAAGTTATATTGATATTTTAACAGCTTGTGTGAGGTGCATAGTGAGGAGAAACGCATGTTCTGATTCGTCGTCCTTAAGGTTGACGGTTTGCCAACGCCTGCTTATTTCACAGCTAGAAGTCTTTCTTAACTGCCTTGAGCGTGGTCAATATCAACTTTTTAAAAGTTTGTCGTCGTGGTTACCTTGGACAACTGGGTGTTCTGTTTATTCCCTTGTAAAATGCCTTTAACCAGAGTGTGTTATATATTATATCGATATAAGTACTTACCGTCAGTACCGCCCTTCTCGATTTGTTTTTCTGGGCTGTAGTTTGTATGCTGGTTATCAGTCACAAATTATTGCGAATAGGCCAGTTTTCCGTTTGGATATCGCACTGATCATGTCTATCAGCGTATCAAAACTCTCGTGTTTCCCAAGCAGCAACTGAGGGCTGTTTTCACGTGTGCATCATCTCCCGTGTACCCTCACTTGACCGTGAGTACAGAAAAAATCTTTCGGTTTCTGCTCAGCACGTCTGTCTGTTTTGACTTACCCCTCTCCTAAGCTGAAGCAAATAATTAGCTGTGTAAAAATTTCTTATGACGTCTCCGTTTTTAAAGTTAACGGTCTTCGTATGATGGAACTCACTACTTATATTGCTGCTGAAAACGCTTCAACAGGCACACCGGTTTCTCTCTTCTTATAACTGAATCTAAAGTTTCCATCAACTTATTGTTCTGCTGAAACACCAAAGTATACGCAGTTTGGATGGGAGACTCGACTAAATCCAGCCTAATTTCCCGTTGACTGCGCCTACCTGATGAGACCCATGAAGGTTGAAACTAGTCGCAGGCCGTCAAACAGTTTCCAGCAGTCTTCTAATAAGTGTGTTCACCGTTGACTGGCCTACCTGATGAGACCCATGAAGGTTGAAACTAGTCGCAGGCCGTCAAACAGTTTCCAGCAGTCTTCTAATAAGTGTGTTCATTTAAAGTGTCTTCTCATCACCACAACAACTCACCCATATTCAAATCCCTTTAGCCAAGGGAGTCTGATATCGCCAGACATACACCATCCACACCCTCGTGGTAGAGTTCACTCTACGGTGATACACATCGAAAAGAATGCTGGATTTGTTCCGTGGAATATGAAACCAAAATGCAGATTTATCAGTTACACTAACCCTTCAGATTATCCCTACGATTAGAACATCCAGATCAGAGGTACCACTAAGTTCACCATTGCACTGACAAGCAATATATCACTCTCATCCCTGAAAAGGATCAGGAAAGCTTGATAACTTTGGTCTATTATCCATCAGCGTCAACTGACGTTTTTTAATGTATGGAGACCCCAACATCAGTTCACTTTTATTTAGTCCTAAGTATATGGTTGCTTGTATATGACGTTGCACTCTTCTAGTTAGCCCCGGTGTATGTTCTGGCCAATGAACCTGACAGATGGACCTACCATACAAAGGGTGATCGGTGGCCCAGTTCTTTTAGTCAGCTCTGTGAACACTTCAAACCCCCCTACGCCCTCTTCGTGCAATCCTCCGGCCCCCCAACAAAAGAAGAATTTTCTGTGATCCCCATGTTTCTACACTGCGAATAGCGCACTAACTCTTCGTAGGAAAATTCCACGAAAGAACAACCCAAAAGTCAATAAGAGGACTTTACGACCTTGTGTTGGCCCAATATATCCCATGGCATATTCATGTTACATTCGGTTATTGGCCGTATCTGTTCTAATAATCGGTAGTGACTCAATGGTAGCTAGAAACCAATGTTTTTGGGGCTCTGGTTCCAGTTCGAATCTCATCATTTGACCAGTCACCACGTATAAAAAACCTAGTATTGTGGTGATAACTTCAGTCGGTTCATGATAGGCTCCTCTGAATGGTAGTTCAGCTGCGCTGATTAAAATCATCGAATGGTCGCATCAAAGGGAATGAGATAACCTTGACCCAAAGAAGTTCAGGTCGATCGAAAATTCCACAAGAAAATAATCAATTCGAGGGCTTTTAACCCGCATTTCTCTGTGCGCACATGCGTAGACCATCGGCTCTTTGGATCGCGCATCGCTTCTAAAGAACTTTGTGAGTTAAGCTCCAAACTCGAAGCCAGGTTTCAAGATAAATAGCTCTGTTGTCAGTGACTATACAACGGGAAAACCTTTATGGTCTTCTTGATCAGTTTGGTAAGAGGCCACCAGTACTAGTCATTTTCAAGTAATCCATTGCTCTCTCATAATAAACTATCTTAGAATCAGCTTCACGCCGAGGAAGGCCTGGCTGGGTGAGCATGAAAACGACGGGGATAGCATTTTGCAATTTAACAGTACAACTCTGTGCATATTTCATATAAGTAAGGGCTTTATACTGTCAGTGCTGTCTTTCAAAGACTACCAATCAAAGACAAAGAACGAGAAATTTCTGAAAACATATTCCGAGGCCACGGGAACAACAGTTATTCCAAAGGATGATAGTTTTTGAAGAAATAAGGATGTAAGCTAGCATTCCATTTTCATTTTTTTTAATGCTAACGACGAATGGATTCAAACAAGAAGAATGCCAGCAGCTTTTTTTCGGAAATTAGCTGTTTGATTCAAGGGTCACTGGATTGTCACCTGTGACTGAGGATTTGCCCAACCACCTGAATAAGGACTTCACTAAAACGGCACGCCTCAATCGGTTCAACAACCCCTGCTTCTACACCGGAAAATATTTGATATTCGCTGAATAAACTTATTTGCAAGTGAACTTTGTTTTTACGGAGGAAGCAACTAAATCCAGCTGAATCAATCGAACGTGCTGCACCAGGTCACCCCATTCTTCAGTTGGTACGATGTTCGAGATATCCCAATACGTTGTCTAGACATACCACACTACTTACAAGGTTATTGAAGAAGGGATTTCAGTAAGCTTATGAGTACTGCGTTACGCTACAGGCTTACTATGAACAATCGGATCGGTTTGGACAAAATTTTGTTATTGAAACGAAGACAAAATAGTGAAACATAATGCTCACATGGGCACCTACCAGACTTCGGGGCGATCCATATCCAAAAGACTGTGATTTTGCTCTTCTGGATACAGAGACGGTCTAAAGTGAAGAAATGCTTTTTTGCCAGTCCCTGATTGACAAGTTCAGGATAGCAAGGCTGGTGAACCTGTAGATTTTTGTCTGTGCCGTACTTTATATCCAACTGCTCAATGAGATCTAACTATCCGAGAGAGTCTGACTTTTATTACCTGTCCAAATTCAGTCGTATTGTTAATGTTTACTGTGACCAATAGGTAAATCTGACAGCTCAAATTCGGTTTTGGATTCCACACCGTATGACCTTGTAGTGATATTGACCAAGGAAGTAATTGCCAAGGATCTTAGCAACGCATACTCCATGCCTGCAAATATGTAGTGCTGACCGATTCGGTCACAGCATTCCGGCGCTTCCCTTGATCTGAGGCCACAACTACTGACAATTTGCGCAAGAACTGCCATTAAGATGTTGGAGTATTTCATTGAATCTAGAACTTGGTATTTCAAATCACAACACTGTTTCTTCCATCCATTTGTTGGAGGGCGTGGATCATTAGACTTGAAATCGCAATCAACTGGGGATTGGTTATCTATAACCATGTAGTAGTTCTAGGACAGTAGCGCAAACATTTTTCCCCATACCATCACGTGATCAATAGTCGTATACGTCAACGCGACAAAAAACATGGAAATTTCCTAACCATGCCGTCCAAAATACACAGCAAATTTGCAGAGATCTATTGAAAATTTCAGCACAGGTAACCAAATTATTTGTTTCAATGACTGTTCACTGAAACTCGCAGCTTACTCAAACAAATTTCGTGCATCCGAACAATTTGTTCTACCCTTCGTTGCTGGTCATCATCATTTGCCACCCCTGTTTTCTGAAGGTACAGCAGGAAACGGTAGAACTAAACTGCGATTGGTCACTGATCAAGAATGTCTTAATCTCGGACAGCCATGCCAGCAGGATTATTTGGAGATATCTGCTAAGCTACCTAGCCGACATCATTCCGACCCATCGTTTGACGTCATTCCAGTAACCCGTCTGTGTTTGACCGAATCGGCTACCCAATCGGAAACGCCAGTCAAGGACAGTGAGGCAACAATGATTGGTCGAACTTTCGGACCACTACCTAGCGCTGTTGGGCTGCAATTTCGGTCAAATTTGAATCTACGGGATTCGCAGGTTATCCCCGGGAAAGGAATTCTCATTGAATATATCGGTGAGTTTGAAGGACTTGAGGGAGGACGCTTTGTTGCGGCTCTTCACATCTACATGTGTAGTTCGGTGTCAGTCATTTTCCGTCATGCCAAACAGCTGATAGTGGAGATGCATCAGGCAACTGAAGTAAACTGTACCATAGTATCATGGTACCATATATCATCTAGCAGCTTGTTTGAACTAAAACCGCATATCATGGCTCAGTAGAAGATTGGTTCTTTAGGTAACGGCTTATAAGCCCAACTTTATGATCGAGAATACCAGGGAACGGATGACATCTTGTTCTTGAAATGCGCTTGATGCATCTTAAGGTTCGGTTATATTTACCATTGCACAAAAGTGTAATCTGCTTGTAAATTCTGCCGTTCCGTGTTCCGATTTCCATTTTCACACCCAAATGAGTAAACATGGCCACGTTAGGGAAGCTAGGTGCGAATTTGTTCCACACTGACTGAACTGAATTACGGTTGACCTCAGTTTTAGTTGAAGTTGTTTGCGAATTAGAGAACGATTGTTCGGTTTGAGTTAGTTTTCGAGCCATCTGGTTGTGAACTATTTGATTAAATATTGGCTCCGAATAGAACATTGCTTCTCCGAAACTATTCTCTGCCTGTTGAGTCTGGTAATTTGGCGATTCGAAATGGCGAATGAATTTAGATGTAAAGTTTAGCCGGGCCTTAGGTGCCACTTGCAGTCTACAGTTTCTTTTAACCCGATCAATAATGGTCTTATAATGGTCTTACTGAAGGGTTTAACTAGGGATCTCACCTCGAAAATTCGGAACAGATGTTGCTTGAGGAGCCATGTTAGTTCGTTCCGCTAGAAACAGCCTGGGGGTCATACTGAGTTAAGGGGTCACAGTAATCTTGGACCATGTTGTTCTGGTCAACAGTGAGCGTGAGGGAGATGCTTGGTAAATGTAACAGAGGTCGGTCATTGATCCGTGAGAGCTTCACATCAGAGCTATAGTAGAAGCACGAAGTCCTTTTACACATCTTGAACCAGCTGAACACGTTTGGATTTTTCAAGCTTGATAATGGTGAATCAAACTTTGTTAACTACGCGACAAGAATGATGAATTGTTTATTGGTTTAGATAAATCTACTCGAAACGGACGAATTTCAGTTTGCAAACAATTTTTTGCTTTGGTTTCTGTCATTCTCCGAAACTGTGATCCGCTACTTCCCCCCGGGTAAAACTGAGCCACTCCAGAAGATCGAAAGTCTAGACTAGTAGTGTGGTTGTCACATTCAAGTGACAGTGTCAATATTACCGATGACGCACCATTGAGACCCTAGTTCTGTTCGGTCCATACATCAGAATGGAGAAAAAAGCTGAGAAGAAAGCCATTTTCTCCGGGAGAGCAAACAGGTGCCCTCATCTTCGTTTCGAAGAGGAATGTCCGTTAAGGCCGACGAGTTCTCGTTCACGTGTGGACTACATAGCTGACGGGTGGTGATCTTGTCCTTCACGCAAAGAATAGGAAAACGGATGTCATTCACTTCCTAACAGTGAAAACAACAATGTGGTAGTGTAGTAAACGGTTCACCAGCTCTTTTCGCCTTTTCCGGTCCCAGGAATAACCCTTTTAGCATTGTTTGACTAAAAATATCCCATCCAATGTGAAAGCAGAAGCGATGTCAGTTTACGCTTTCGTTTTAGAATGAGCGGAACCAAATTCACATTTGGAACGGGTGTGACGACCAGAAACTTGAAAAACCTCAGATCCCCTAAAATTTTGGAGCGCCATCATACAAACATCTTAAGCAGGTTCGAAACCCCCCAGATCTGAGCGCACAACATTACCATGCTCTGCTTCACTGCAGAGGGCACTGGACATTACTTCTTGGTAGACCGAGGCGTTGCCCTAATCCAAGAGGATGGTGAATGAACATTTTGCTAGTTTCGTAGCCAAAAACTGTCCACAGATTGCTCTGGCTTTGGGGATGTCCCAGTGATCCAGCTTCCTCACAGCATACCTCATTGTGGCACTCCAACAGAGGCCAGCTTTTCCCCAAACAGCCATACATGATTAGACCAGTCGATTCAATAACCCTACTAAAAGGTGGCATTAGGCTGTACTGCACAACGGCATACCTGTTTTCCACAAATGTCCCGTTTCTGTCTATGCGTATATATAGGCTATGTGACCACTGTACCAGCTTTATCGGCTCTACGCCCTTACCCCTTCAATACGTAGCTATGATCTACGCAGCATCCCATCCATGGAACACCGTACGGTGACATTTACTTCCACTGTAGGACTTACACCCAGTTGACAGCTGCCGATGACTCGCTGACCGTACCTAGTTGCATTCTAAATTCAACAGCATTGTTCTGCACTCCGATCCGCAATCCTACTGGCTACGGTATAGTGGATTACCGCTTCCTAACTTTGCCACACTCTTCACACACGGTGGCCTATGCGGAAATATTCTGCCCATCGGACCGATGGCTGGAGCCTCAAAGGCCAACAGAAACGGAAGCCATCCATCGCAATCAAACGGGGATTCCATGGTGGCTCGAACGAATTCAACACACCACAAGAGCATGCAATCATCATTCAAGATCATGGTCCGACCGGATTCCAGAAGCGTGTCTAACGGGTGAGTTGATGTGAACGAAACTGAGCAGTCATTTAGTCACAGAGAGCCAGGGGTCTATTTCATTTGGATCGTATAAATAAACACGGAATGGCTCACAGTTTGCGCTGGACGTCGATCTAGATAGTGATATGGCTTTTTGACCACTTCTGCCTGGGTGCAATAAACTTGACGACCTCTCAGATATTCTGGACTAGCAGAACACCGCGTACACTGTTATAAGCTGGGGTTGTTTCACGTTGAAGGGTCGCAGATGGGCCAGTTGGTCAAAACCATACCACTGTAATACATGAAACAACGATAAAGTCCATTGTAAAAGCATGCACGCCCACCTGGCCTCCCTGCCGGATGGTGAATACCACACAATGGACCTCAGAAAGATCAACGAGTCTTCTGCAACTTGAGTAGGAATGACTAAGTTATTGGCGATGAAGTAAGTTAGATGGTTGAAGAATTTGAGGCGCTTGACAGCAAGGCTAGACAACGAATATCATACCTTGTGACTTTCGGCATATCTGTTCGTTCTTTTGTTGTGCATCATCGTCACATGATTCATGAGCGCGTCCCGCTGAAACATGCACTCTCTCTCACACACACGCAGACAACGACTTTACCCGTGGAAAGAATTGTGGAGTAAAGCATCAACTTCTTATTACGGTGGTCTGTACTGCCACCTTGCTTCAGTGGTTGAGAATACACAAATCAATATTTTGTGCGCAGGTTAGGACACTTACGTTCCCGAGGGTTCCGGTGGGAGTATTTTGTAGAACCTAACAGTTCAAAGAATACCTTAATGATAAGAACATGATGTGCTGCCTGTGTCCCTGTGCCCCGATTACGCTAATATTGCGTCATGCTCGCCGTTATTCCTCCGTAGCTCTGTAGCTCATGTAGGTTCGCTGAGGTAGCAACCACAGGCAGTCTTATATTGTTCTCACGCAAACTACTGAAATGACTCCTTGGCTACGCTCTCCTAATTAGGGGCTTGCTGACGGCATTTGGGCGGAAGACTCCATCGAGTTATGCACTGAAGATGTCAAAAGGGTCTCCATAAAGCAGACAATTAGATAAGCATCGATTTCTTCCGGCAGAAATCCCTTCACGAACTCACCACACTTGACTTTCCAAAAAATCGAAATTCTGGCCTAAAAATACCTGGTGGGCTGGTGGTGAGAGAGCCTTCTTCATTTTAAATAACCTTGTTTTCGCCATTGCCTCATTGATTGAGATAATATCTCCTGCTGATAGCGGTAGAATCGATGGCTTTGAAGGCAGACGATAATGTCTGAAACTCTTCGGAAGCATTTCGGTTAGGTTGTGACACCAAATTTAGAATAGACAGCAAGAAAAGAAATCAACAATAGACGATATTTACTACTCATGAGGTTGCTGAAAATTCTTCCACAGTCCACAACCGGTTTCGCCCTTCTTGGGGCCCGTCAGGTAGGTGGAGTCCCCGAGTTTCCGTCAACTTCATGTTCTACTTGAACCCCAACTGCACGAAATTAGCGGCATATATTCACAAACCACCCTGAGAATAGTTTATGTCACAAACTATTTAGTGTACTATAAGAATACAGTACTCAATATGTGGTACAGTCAGAATACCGAATAAATTGTCTCGAGAACAGTGACTGGCGTCAACGTGACCAACAGTAAGAGGAAAGACCAGAGGGATTTTGTGTTTCAAGGCGATATCTGATCACACAATTCATGCAGTTGCCCATGATACCGGAAATGGCGATAATGCGTTATTTGGAAGCTCCCCACATCATTATGATCTTCTCCTCGAAAATTCGCTGGTTTCTTTTAAAGATGGGGATCATACGAACAGACCTTACGGACGAAATGCAGGCAATCGGTTTCATGCAACAGCTAGCGTGGTTTAGTTCCACAACAGCATATTTCCTGTGAATAGAAACTTGCTTTAGTAGTTTGAACCAGAGGTAGCTTGGTGGTTAAGGTGTGAAGATATTGATCGTTTGTTCCGTGGTTCAAACCCAAGCTCTGTATCCCGACTGCTCCTGTCCAGGCTTGGGCAACCTGCCAGTATCTCAGCCTTCGTGCTTCCTTCGGGTGGCATGGCAGCAATGCATCGAAAGTGTTACATATGAACGATTGCTATTAGTATATTATTGTTGCAATGCGCAACTTACAGGTTCCGGCGGGTGATTTGTTCCCGTCTTGAAGTGATGTTTGCTTCATGGTTTCACTCAGCTTGGGAATTTGCATTAAGAAATACAGACTTGCCAATAGATTTTGAACGTGAATGCTTTGTCGCACTTGTCCGTTTGTGCTTAGTTGATTCTGACCGAATGACTCCACTCCTGGCCTGGCGCTTTCTTCTTGGATAGGAACAATTCAAGTTGAGTAGATATCGGGCAATAGTTCAGCATCGATCATTTGGGAGATCAAATGAATGGGGTACTATTTCACCCGTCCACAGCAAAGAAGCTGACCAGTTAATCTGTCTGGTGGAGCGGTCAAAATAGAAATCACTGAACAGATTTCTCAAGAAGTCACGTTTATGAGTTTTGAGATGGATATACATCGGCTGAACTTACTGTTCCATTATTAGTCTCGATGTGTTTCGTCTATCGAAGTAGAATGTGTCATACAGCTTACCGAACAGAAAACCGGTATGTTCGCAGGCCTTTTGCAGAGTTTTTATCTGATGAACCATACGACTTTTGTACAAACGACCTCAGTTGAACCGCGTTGGTACTTGTAATTGTACCTCTTTCTGATTCCAATAGTGTACTTGAACTGTTCATTTGTATTTCGGCAGTCTTTTTTTTATCAACAGAATTTGAGGTCAAACGAAACGACAAGCAACAGCACCTATTGAGACCATATGATGACCTCGTCAGGAGATATGCTCAACCTGTCAGGCCGTGCTTTAGTGACTTCGGAAACGACATACAGGAAACGCGATTACGCCGTTGAAAAAAGCACACGACAGCTGACTTCATAATTCAAGAGCCGACAAACACTTGACACTCTAGAATTGATGCACAAAACATGCTTATATAGCGCAGGGCTACCTAGTAATTCCGTACTGTGGGATGCGGCTGTACGTCATATGATTTTATTCAGCACACTGTATAGGCTAGAGTGGTTTTTGAATATCTGCTTCTGTGGTCAAATCTTAACTGCCTTGTTCGATGTAGTCGGTTGACCTAACCTGACTGATCAACCCCTGTCAGAGTGAAGTGCGCCGTGTTCTTTACAACACCCTAGAACAGATGTCCCACCAATACTGATTGTGACCATATCTTCGACATCTTGAAAGAATTGGTTAGGGTTCTTTTGAACACTTTGCACGGATGGTTGAAGCTCACCTCGGGCTTTTTCGTGTAGATGGTCGGTAGCTATTGCATCTTGGTAACGACTGCGAAAAAACTATTAACGTTGCCCATAGTTCTTGTGTGGCTTTTACTGTAGACGTCTATGAGGAGGAAAAACAGTGTGTTGAAAATTATAGAGAGCAGTTATCACAGCAATTACAATCATTCAGTCGCTTTGCGTTGAAGAAAGCGCTCCCGGCTTAACCTCCAGAATCAGATCACTCAATCACTGTATGATACTCTTGCTAAGTAACACAACCTGTTCAAATCGCAAAACCAAGCTCCGTATATAAATGAACAAATGTGCACAGACTGTGTCATTGGTTGAAGCCCTGGTAACACGAGGCACGTCATGACGCCTCCATTCTGGAGCCGTGGGGAAACCAACCTTCTCCCCTGTAGTTTGTCCATAGGTTCAGTTTGTAGCACAAAGCATACTCGGCAGCATCCCACAGATTCTAACATATTATGGTGTAAAACTCACTAGGGCGATCTATCTTTTGAGAGTGAAGTAAACTTCCGCCAAGCGCCAAATGGTGTATACCTTCTCTCCGCGTTCTGAATGCTAGAGTTGATTTGTATGGAATGAGTGAGAATACATCTTACTTCTACTCATGCAGCTTTTCAGCTTATGTAACCTCATGCAACTTCAGGCTACTCAAACTTGAGCGATAAGACAAGTTTTATCACTATAGGATCCAGTTTATGATTGAGCATACACATGAACGTTAGCAGTAGCAAGACACTTGAATCATGTTGGATGTCTCGCTTTCAGGAGGGACAACCACCTCGATCACTCTCATAAAATGCTCCCCCCACTAAGGGGTAAATTTACTTGCAGCACCCACACCCTGGGTTTCATTCATAGGGTTAGCCACACATCACCTGCGATAAAACTACAGGAGTTTTGATTGACATCGCTTGAGTTGTTTGTTCTTGTGGAACGAATCCTGGACACACCGATTAGAATTTCCAATTCTGGGAAGAGGATAATGGCTTGATTTCTGAAGACAAAATGAAGCCAATTTGCATATTTCTTGTGTTGTCCCCTTGTCAATATTTCGTTTTCCCTAACCTACGAAGGGCATATAGCCCTCACCACAGTTTCCAGAACAAAACTGAGGGTCATGAGTGGAAGCCGAACTTCTTCTATCAACCTTGTTCCTGGATGCATTAGGCGAGCGATCACTTGATGCTCCATGCCCCTTTCTAAGGCGAATCCCATTCTTGGGCATGAAAATTGTTTTCTTTCCAGCGTTTGCCCGGATTACACCGGTTAAGTTTCAGAATAGATTACACCATACTGAGTGTTGGAAAAGTAGAGTTGAATCTCACACGCACACAGCTACATAGGCCTTCAGACAATGGCACAGTGTTCACATCAGATTGACCGACCAATCAAAATGCTGGTTTTGGCCAGTCAGCTGATTAATCCTGAGTTTGCTATGCAACATGCCGTTCACAGATGGTTTGTTATCGACCAATGGAGTCGTTCACACTATTACGGATGAACCAAAGCGTAATAAGCAAATCAGTGAAGAATATTATCATGCTGTAAAACAGTGAAAATTCTGGTATGTGACTAACGAGTGAGTTTGAGAAGCACATAAATGAGTTTGAAGGTTCACAACTGCAAGGGAAGTCCTTGAAGCCTCTGTCCAGCTTGTTTTTACACTTGTCCTTTCCATTCATTATTCTCTGGATTAACCTTCGTAGAGGCAGAATTGGACGTGTTTGTGGCCAAAGTGAAGATGGACATGCAGCAGGCCTCCACCGCGAAAATCAATACATCCGATATCGCACTATCGACGTCAGAAATGGAGACCAATTATTCTGTGGGCAATATGACGATCGAAGTACCCTTCCCACCACTCGGACACACGGCTGTAAGCGAAGTTCTCTCCGGACCGGTGACCAATGCAGGCTCTTCTGGTGAGTTCACGGTTCCTGCTGTTGCTGGCGTTTTTACCACCCCCTTACGTGCGTGCGTGCTCTCATCTTTCATGGGAATCAAATGGCTAGTTCAAGTGATTTCCGTTATTCTTGCAGTCTCAAGGCTCACTGGCTAGTGCTCTCCTTCACTTAAGCAATCCGTTTCTCTTCGGGGAATCAAAGAACTGCTACTGATTTACTCACGGTATTGAGCCAAAATCTGTTCGTTACACTGTTGCGTTAGTCCCGGCTGCTACACTTTCGTTCTTAAAGTGTGAGGAGGAGATAGCCAGGTGGCGAATACATTCGTCTAACCCGTTCATTCATACGGGCTCGAACACAGACCAGGCGATCCTGTGATGGGACAACTCACGACGTTGCCCTTCTGCAAAAGTCCTTGATGATCAGTCGATACCAGCTACCTCGCAATGCTTTTGGGGGGGGACAAGGATGAATCGCGGCGAGCGATTAGGAAATGGCTTTTTCGATTAACCATTTATCTGACATGTTTCGCTTCCTGGTTAAATTTTCAACGTTTCTCCCAACAACATCTGGGGTAATTAATCGATTTATTGAGCGATTTGCCTTTATGAACGCATAGAAGAAGGTAGGAACAGAATGAACAGGCTTGCACTCCAGAAGTTTCCCTGTCTATTGCTTTCGAGTTCTGTCTATACTGCTTGAGAAGGCATTCACGAAAGTGTGCACCTTTGTTTCAATGTAGTCACTGAAATTGTCCAAGTAACTCTCAGTTCGTGACCATTGAAAGCTGGTTCGTCACACCACAGTCATTTCTAATAGTGACTACAAAATTCACATTAGACAGTCCACAGTTTAGATCATTCCTTCGCACTGATTCATCCATAATGCCAGGCCAGGTGATGGAATTGAAAGCGGATTTCATCCCTGTTCTCGTTTCAGAAAAACTCGGTGAGTAGTGTGAGTTGTTTGTTTTGCTTGGCGGAAATGTTTATGTGGCTGGATTAAGACGTGTCTATTTATTCAGCTTGTTCTTTTCCCCTGTGATCACTTCAAATTCATCGATTTTCTGTAGCCAGTGTCTGGGCTGATACGTCCTGTTATTTGATGATACGAAAAAGAACGAGATCTTTGTCTAGACGTGTTTCATTTCGTTTTAATCGGGATCGAGTTCTGTGAAATGGGGTCGAATACATAGGTCGTATTTTAGCGCACATTAATCCGAGGGGCAACAAGTAAAGCTTGTAGATGGGAAGGTACACATCAATCACATGCCGCTTCGGTATCCGATTTTGAAAGACCGAGGCCCCGTCGTTCAAGTATCTCTGCTCAACATCAGGGATCGATCAGGATAACCTTACCCGCACACGAATACTTTCCAAGTGTGGACGCTAGGACTGGAAGGGGGATCATAGTAGGTGATAACTGCTAACATCTGCAAGAGCAAGAATAGCCTCTGAGATAGAAAACACTTTATGCTTTCCCATTTACCTCCGTCCACCCAGATTTATAGATTTTCACGGTCAATTTCAAAAACACAGAAGCTATTTTCTCAAAAGACCACTGATCTCTTACTAATTAAACTTGACCCAGACTGACCGACAACACATTCCTTATTATGCTGGTGTAGAAAACGTCCAAAACCATTCATTTTAGTCCCCTTGTAATTAAGGGATACCTCCTATAAGAACTTGTTCCTTAGAAGTTTACTAGAATAAATGCAGAGCGTGTGTTCGATTCATCATCATATTCAAAGTCATTTTTGGTATCATTGGTGCATGCTGATCTTATCCGCTGTCCGTTTCCGGTCAGAAGGACGGGGGATTCTCCTGTCACCTTAACTTTGGCAAGACTAATCAATAAAACATAGTAGTAGCATCAACGTTAATAAAAAACATCTTCATTACCTATCTGAAGCGGACACGACCACTGATTACAAGTACATCGGAATAGCTCACTATAATAAAGTGAAATCATAACCTTGATTCTAACACGATAATTTGGGACAGTCATACCAATGTTGTATTCTTTCGTTTACAAATGAAACATGTTTTATTTATGTCGGTTTATGGTGTAATTAGGGGTGAACATGTCCTCACCTCCTGGGATTTTTATGGTGAAAGCTTTTTGTGGCTTCTCTTCTGCGTAAACTCGAAAAAATACTTGGCCTCACCGTTTCGCTTCCTCCTGGTGGCCGTGAAACTGAAAGATTTACCTTAAATGACTTGTCACTAGGTTTTCTGGGCCTAATCAGGTGCAGTCCAGATCTTGAGGATGGGTTCGATGCTAAACTTATCCGTTTCCTTACCCAATTAAATTGATAATTCCGGCAAACTGATCAGGACCAAGACTATAGTGTGTGTATTCTTTAAACACATTCAGCTAAAAACAAATTGCTCATTTTCACGTTGCCACTCGTAAGTGGTTGAGAACCAGAAGATGTGTGGCAAACGAAATCAAGCTGCTCATGGTGGACGCCGATGAATTACGTAATCCACTTACCATCTTTACTCAGGTCTTTAATGAATGCAGAAACACGCATCGGGCTCTATGCACTTGACCTTCACGTAACCGACTGTTTGTTGAAAGCCCGGAGCGCCCGGTATGAATTATTCCGTAAGATCAGTAGGACTAATTGAGGACGGTTCTTGTAAACCTGGTTTTTCCTGACAATTCTTTTGAACGGGAACAAAGAAGAATCCTTTGCGTCCGTTACTGACTTCGGACCACCACCATCAGTGTACAGAAGGTGAGTGTATTGTGGTGTGTGTAAGAAGATGTGGGTTTTCTCGTTGACGAAGCTTACATGGGTGTTTTTTCACGCATGTTGAAAATCAGGTCAACTGTGTCACCTTACCAGTCCCAACTTGGACACGAGCGCGCTCTGCATGGGAGTACACTAATAGCTGTGCGCGGTTGACTTTGAAAAATGTAAGCGATAGAACGTCACAAGGTTTTGGCTGTACCTTCAACGACAACTATAAATTTTACTGTTAGGCGGTCACTGGAATGACTGTACTAGTTGGGATTAGACCATAAAAGAAAATCGTTCAGCTGTAGCACCCTTTTGGTGCCCAACTGCCATGCCACCTGAAGGAACCATGAGGGCTGGGGTACGTCCAGGTTGCCCAATCTTGTCAGAGGAAGACGGGATACAGAGGTTGGGTTCGGACCACGGACCATCCGGTCAGTAAGTTCACGTTCTAGCCATCGAGCCATCTCGCCCCATCCCCCTAAAAGCATGAAAGTCACAGAGCTAAAGTGGATATTCACCGGAACTATGGGGTCAACTCCATCACGTGCAAATGAACAAAAGCGTGTGTACTCTGTCACTCGAACCTAAATTGAACAAAAGTTAATAATTCAACTTTGAAGGATTAGTTACACTTAATCAAGATTGATTTAGCTGTTGCACAATTACGCACTACACACTACTACACACCCCCAATGAGGGCATACTCTCGGGACTAAAACAGAACACCTGCAAGATCAGAACTGTGTTTACGAAAGCTTCTTGTACAGCTCCAGTCGCCGTGGATCAAACAAGCAAACGGGGTTGCTTTCGGTTGCATTCGGATGAAGAGGTAGCCTGAAACGTTTTGAATTAACCGACAACTGGGGATGGTGGTATGGACCATTTATCACCAGAATGATATCCGATGGATTGATGGGGAATACTAAAAAACAAAGCCGGTTTGAGTTATGGATTATTAGAAAGTCAATTTTTGCCCAATCGAGGGTTCAGGTCATAGGTTAGTTCGGTGCGGTAAATTCAATTAGGGTCAGTAACGTGTCAGGTGCACTATCAACAATCATGATGGATCAGAGTTTGCCTCTTTGGACCGAGTTTCATGCCTCCCAAAAATATGTTACAAAACACAGTGGCTCCTCAAATTTGGGCCCAAGTTCCCAGATGCCGAGCAGTTAGCATGTATGGTCTTCAAAACCCCTCCCTGACTGAAAGCTTCATTGATTTGGTCCTGTTTTTTTTGCTGTTTCGTTAAGGTGAAACCACGAAGTAGCACTGAAGCGAATGTCTTTGATACAACACCAGTTCGAATGATTCTACGGGCAGTGCCGCCTTCGTTCTCGAGTGATACGGGTAACATTGGGGAAATGTTCCATGAGTTTAATTCAAACACAGCACAGTGTGAAGGGGTTCAAGGGCAACCGCTAAGTGTGCTACAAACAGTTATGCGCTTCCGCCATTTTCTTGTTTCTGATCGCCTCAATAAATCCTGTTAGTTCATATTTTGTAAACGCTTCACAGTCAGCGACGTACCGACCTAGTGATGTGCAGCCTAGAATCAACTCCGAGTGACTTGTCCAGATATCTGGGAATAAGTTGTAACGTTCGCTACCGCCTGTTGCTTCCTCCGAATAGTCGGTTAGCTGTGTGCGCTGTGGACTGCTAGATTTGCTGTTGAACCGCTGAAGACAGCCGAAAAGGTCTACGTTTGCTGTTGTTGGAATCCATGTCAATAACGCTGGCGGTCTCTTTCAGCGGAACTGGTTGTCTGCTGACGTAGACTACGGAGATGAAGCTGCTTGGGTAACCCATTTCATTTGCTGCGTTGCTCTGTTTGACTTTGTCTTGAAAACCATTCGATCTTGGATGTGACAGCTTAGCACATGACTGATTTTGGATAGAACCACAGTTCTTTATTACATGCCGACTGCTCACGGGATGTATCCCCTCCGGAACTAACTTGTTGGCTCAGCTTATTGGAAGGTTTGACTTTTTGTTTTGGATCTTCAAGAAAGGCGAGGTCGAAATGATTTCTCGTGGAACACCCCTAGTGGTTTAAACCTTCCATAAGCGGGCGCAAGTCCAGATTCACAAGTGTTGTCCGCTTCGGTCTCACGCTATGATCGGTGACCCCTTACCAAAGGTACCGCCCAGTCAATGTGAGAATACGGCTTACCACAGAAATAACTTAAATATCGTTGGAATACTAAGTAAATAGATGTTGATTCGAATAAAACTGGTTGACTGAGCCCCGCGAAGTTAGTGAAGGGCT